AGGTAAGGCCCGGCTGCACCTTTTGTTGTTTTTCTCCCAGCGGGGAGGGTAGAGGAGAGGACGGGAGGCAGCGGCGCCACCGTGTTCCGGCTCGCAAATAGCCCCGGGAGCCCGAGCAGGAAGAAGCAGGGAGGGAAGAGGAGCGGATGGGAGGGAGCGGCGCCACTGCGTTCCTGCTCCCAAACAGCCCCGGGGGCCCGGGCAGGAAGAAGAGGCCGACCGCAGGGGAGAAGGTTTGGGTCGCGCGGCAGCGGCGGCGACGCACCTGTCCTGGATGAGCTCAGAGCTGGGCCGCATTACAAGCTGACCTGGGCCGCATGCGGCCCGCGGGCTGCGGGTTGGACAAGCCTGCACTAAAGCAATAAAAAAGCATTCTTCAGGCATACGAGTGGAAAAAAACAACACAAAAGACATAGTGGCACAGCTCTGCAATGGAGATGGGAAAATGATAACAGAAGACAAAGAAAAGGCAGAGGTGCTCAATTCCTATTTTAGTTCAGTCTTTTCCCATAAGACAGACTATGAACTTCCAAACAAATTGGAAGTGCAGGTGAGGGGGACAGGATTGCAGCTGGAGATTGATAAACAAATAGTCAAGGAATACCTTACCACCTTCAACGAGTTCAAATCTCCAGGGCCGGATGAACTGCATCTGAGAGTACTGAAGGAACTACATTATTTTCTTGAAATCATGGGAAATGGGGGAGGTGCCAGAGGATTGGAGGAAGGCTAATGTTGTCCCTATCTTCAAAAAGGGCAAAAAAGAGGAACCTGAGAACTACAGGCCAGTCAGCCTGACCTCAATCCCAGGCCATATTCTGGAACACACCATAAAGCGGTAATTGTGCAAACACCTAGAAAACAATGCAGTAATAACTAGAACACAACACAGATTTGTCAAGAACAAATCCTGCAAAACTAATTTGATCTCCTTTTTTGATCAGGTCACCTTCCTGACAGACAGAGGGAATGCTGTAGATCAGTGGTTCTTAACCTTTTTGAAAGAAACGCCCCCTTGAGCCATTGAGGAAGTTATCATCGCCCCCCTCCCCGCGGTGATGATATTTATTCATTTTTTTTTATTTATTTATTTATTTATTTATTTATTTATTTATTTATTTATTTATTTATTTATGACACTTAAATCCAATGA